TGATGGAGAGGAGGTATAGATTGGACATCCGCAAAAACTACTTCACAGTTAGGGCGGCTAGGAGCTGGAACCAACTTCCAAGGGAAGTGGTGCTGGCCCCTACCCTGGGGGTCTTTAAGAAGAGGCTGGATGCCTACCTGGCTGGACTCATTTGAGTCCCGTTTCTTGTTCTGGGGTTTTGTTGTTCTCCCGCCCTGGCGGGGGGTCGGGCTAGAAGATCTACTAGGTCCCTTCCGACCCTAAATCTATGAAACTATGAAACTATGACCTTCAAGGAGCCATCTGGCAAATGGAGATGGCTGCACTAGGCTCATTCCTGCCCCATTACGTCAGAGTCAGGGTGGGGTAGAACATAATTAAGCTATATGCCTACTTGCTAAGGACTCAAACCAGTCCTCAGTGGGAAGATTCAGACAGTTTTGGTCCCTTTGGACCAACAAAGTGATGTATTAGACAAGAAAGTGCATCCCAGAAATTCGCCCTAACTAAAACCTCACCAGTCACTTTTCATTGACCAAGCTGATTAAATGCTGTGAGTAAAGAAGCTATAGAAATGATAAAAAGTACATTTGCTTCAAGAAATTCTTTCATTTTAAAATCATCTTTTTTTCTCTCATGCTGATTAAAATCATGTGTTAAATGCTGTGTATGAGGTTTATATATGCAGTTTGGCTTTACATTTACACAAATATTTCAAAGACACAGAGGGAGGTCTTCAGTAATGTTTTTGACTATTCCTGGTAGCACTCATGTGGATCCGTGTGCCTCAACAGCCTGAACTGAAGGCATGAGTCCATCACAGAGATCTGGGTGCAGCCATGGGCCTCTACTGACCAGAGTTAAGATGAGATGGGTTTTGGTCACTGCCTTTTGTGTCTAATTCCTGTTGTGCAGGATGTCTCACATACTGTCTGGAATCTAAGTTAGTTTCTGGATAATGATTTCTCACTAACTGTTTGTCTCCATCTTTTCTGTATCTAGGTGCACAAAAGTGACACCACAGTTGTAGTGTTCTTCATAATGCCTGCAAAAACAAATAATTTCAATGTGGAAACATTAAAGGGGCAAGCAGTCCGCAAACAGCTATGGTAATCACTACTCTTATCATTCTTGGATGAGGAGTTAAAAGGATAATAATTGTACAGATCACTCATGCAAGGTGGTGCTACAGTGGATATTAGCTTTATTCATGGTTCTAGGGTCTCTGCCAAGATATAGTCACCTCCCAAAATGTAAGATATATGATACATCATAGGTAATTATTATATTTTCTCAGCATGGTAAGGCCTCATTTGGAGTGCTTTGTCCAGTTTTGATTTCAAAAAACGTGCACAAACTGGAAAGATTCCAAGGAGGTGCAGTCCAAGTGGTAAACTAGAAAATATTACCTGCAAGGAAAGGTTGAAAGTATTGAGTTTATTTAATTTAGAAGAGAGAAGAATGATGGCCATGATAACTAGATGGATAATGAGGCCCTGGAATAGCTACTTAGAAAGGTTATAGAATCCAATCACTGGAGATTTTTAAGAGCAGGTTGGACAAATTTCTGTTGTATGTGGTCCTTTTGCTCCATCCTCAATAGGACAGGTTAGAGTTAGATGGCCTCCCTGCATTTCTATAATTCTTTGAGTTGATCAGCTTTCACTCTAATGCAAAACCTTTAAGTAACCTCTTATAGCAGTTAGAGCTGGAGCTACTGACATTATGGAAACTTCAATCAGTGCCCATGGACTCTGCCTTTTAGCAGAACTTCCAGGCCCATGAAGAGCACCACAGGCAGTTGCTGAAAGGCAGTTTCATTGCTTCCAGTTCAGGCCATGATGTATCTCAATACAGGGCTGCATGGGATCATAATGAGGTAGTATGGATTCTGGGACATAAAATACAAACCAGGACAAAATCCTGATATATATATTTTTAAAATTCCTTAAGGACACAAAAACAGCATCACCATATGTCCCTGCTCTGAAAAAATGGCTGCAGGGTGCTTTGAATTAATTTCCATGCTTCAGCAGACTCAATTAATCAAGTCTGCTCTGATGCACCGGATTTCCAGCATTTCAGAGCAGGCTCCCCACATGTGTATAGGAGCCCTATAATTACAGCGTGTTGGATCAGATGTCCTGCACATCTACAGGCACCTGTAATGCCCCATTCCAAACATTGCACCTCCTCCCATGAACATCTGGCATGGCAGGAGGAACTGGGTATACCTACACAGTTATGAATACTCTGCAATTATGGCGCATTAAGCATAGTACTTGTAATAACAGGTACTAACTTAATGCTCTGTAATCAGCGCTACTGCACATTAGCACAGATGAATGCTTTTTTAGTGATGTTAATGCACATTAGATTGATCTACTGCACAGTAGTACATTAGCATGGGTTTTGTCTGCCGCACTAATGAGCAGTAGAGTTAGTCTTCTGAGCGTTAAGCGTCTCATGTAGACGCGCCCACTTCAAACCCACTGCACCATCATTTTAACATGTCAGGAGCCTCTCTCTCTCTTTTACACCTGGAGCTGATTTTCATATAGGAGAAGAATGTTCTACTTGTCCAGCAAGGGGTGGGGAAACGAGCATCAAAAGTTCTAGTGCTGGTTTTGCCAATGAATTTAGCTTTAGGGAAGTCACAGTGGGTCAGACCCTCAGTGTCACTGAAATCAGACAGCATGACCAAGGGTCATGGAAGGAGACTTTAAGCAGGTCTTCTTGTGCTTCCCTGTTGCCTGAATCCCTAGTGTAAGTTGGAGTACTTTTAGCTTTGCTCTTATTTCCACCAGCAGTGACACTGTACATTTTGGCCCTGACATGCTGCATTTTACAAATTATTTTCTTACATATCTAGGGACACTGCACAATCTGTGAAAGAAAAATTTGGAAAGAAACTTTACGATGCACTCTTAAGGTGAGTCTCAGAGTCACTTTATATTTCAGAGTGACAATTCCAGCTGTATAACCTGGATTGTTTCCCTGTTTGTATTATGGGCAGATAAGAAAAGAGCATTGGGAGAAATGGAAAAAGAAGATGTAATTAGAAACTCAGGAGTCTTTCCCCATCCCAGATTTCCTGTGTGTGGTTGGATAAGTCATTTAATATTAAGATTTCAAAGGAACCTATCTGGTATAGGAATCTAAATTCTATATTGAAAAATGTTGTGGGCTTTTAGGAGTCTAAGAATACATCTTCAATGAAGAAAAGGTGTATTTTTAACTTGGGTTGGGTCTTTAGAAGTAGCTAACTCAGGTTAAAATAGCAGTCATCAGGTAATGGGATTCAACCTGAGGTAGCAAATTAAATTCAGTCCCAGGTGTCCATATTGGCTTAAACTCAAATTAAATCTCTAGTTCATTTTCTTCACTGATATTTAAACATGAGTTACCTAAAGAAGAGTGCCCTGCATTTAGCTTCTCTAAATCTATCCCATCCATGCAGTTGGTCCAATAAAAGATATCATCCACTGTAATGCTTGCTGTTATGAATACAAGTATTTTCAAGCATGGTTGCTAAACCCTTATTCTCATTAAGATTCAAAGTCACTTAAATCTGGTCTATACTAGAGGATTGCCAACATGGCTACATTGTCTAGGGGCGTGAAAAGGTCACAAGCCTACACTATGTAGTTGCTGCCACCCTAACTATGGCAAAGGCCCCTAGTGGAGATGTAGCATGTAATGGCAGAAGGTCTTTTTCTTCAGACATTGCAACACAGCCTCTTTGAACAACAGAAGTTCAATGGGTAGAAGTTCTTTTCTGTCAGGATAGCTATATCCAGAATGGGAGTTTACCAGTATAGCTATGTTAAATACAAAGCTTGACCTTGTCTTACCTCTAGCCAACAAAACTTTTTAGTATAGACCAAACCATAGACAAGCCTTTTTGAAAATGTTTACATTAATCTCTCCTTGCCTGTGTCCCCTAATCTATAAAATGAAGGTTATAGTACTTCTCTACATATCAGGAGTGTTAGCACTGTAAACAAGAAATGTGTATAAACATGGTTGATAGAAGAGAGTGGAATTCAGATCTCCTGAGAATCTGGTTATATCAAAGAGAAGAAGGCCTTTGCACACATTTCTCAGGACATACTCTCCTTCATTTCAAGTGGAGGCTAGCCTGAGCTGAAGCCATATGATCTCATGCTTACTAGAGTTGCCTGGGAATTTCAACAAAAATGAAATGCTCCTGAGAGAGAGAAATTTAAATATCTGTAATTCTTCTTCTCCTCTACTCCCTTTCACTTGTGGAGCTGTTTGGAAATACTTTGATTAAAATTGTATTTTGACAAAAATAGAAATAAAAAATCATGAGATTTTTATCACTGGTATGTATGTATGTATAGCCACAGCTAGAGAGAATTGCAGCGAGGCAGTGGGAGAGAGAGAAAAGGGTGTTTGTGGAAAACATTTAGAAATAGTAATAATAATACCCTCCACTCAGTTAATGGCCTATACCAAAGTCCCTTAAAGACAATGAAAAGACCCCTGCTGACTTTAGCAGGTTTGTTGACTTTAGCAGGTCTTTATCTTCACTCCACAGTTGTAGTGTAATTTGTAAATTCATAATAATCATTTCTAAAATTACAAATTACAAGCCATTTGGTGAAATACACTCTCTGTATTACCCATGCAGAGGAGAAATTCCAGACTTGAACAAGATCCTTGATCGGGATGACATAACCATAATGAAAAGAGCCATCTTTGCAACTCAGGTCAGACGGGATATTCATTGTTTATTCATAGATTCATATATTGTTAGGGGCTGGAAGGGACCTTGCAGATCATTGGGTCCAGCCCTCCTGCTCTAGATAGGAAGACAACTGGGGTTAAGTGACCCCAGCGAGGTGACTGTCTAGTCTAGTCTCCTCTTGAAAACCACCTCTGGAAGGAGTTTATTCCACAGTCTGGACCCCTGACTGTGAAGGAGCTTTTTCTGGTACTAAGCCTGAAGCTGCCTTCCAGGAATTTGTGCCCATTGGTTCTGGTGTTCCCCGGGGGTGCCCTATTGAACAGTTGTTCACTGAGCTCCTGATGCACTCCTGTGATATAGCGGTAAGCCACTCTCAAATCCCCTATCAAACATTTGATGGAAATGATAAGTATTCCATCAAATGGAAAGTCTTCACTACCAGTTTTTTATTCCTTGCTCAAAGTTGCCTTTACTGTGCTGTAGAGACAGACACTACCTCCAGTGACCACCCACAACATGCTTGATGATAGCAATGATCCCATTCTCAATACCATTCGGCGCATTGGACTCTTCAACAACCGCACTGACAGAGTCAAGGTAGAATTTCTTATTCTCTCTCTTTTGTAATAGAATTTCTTTAAAAAGTTTCTGTGTAGCTGATATAGCTGGTTGGCATTTGAGGAAATCGGTTCCATTCCTGGGAGAGACATGCAATAAAATAATTACCACCCTTTCAAATAACAGCAGCCAGTCACTTTTAACAAATACCCCAGCCTGCTTATTACCTGCAAAAATTCAAAGGAGACATTTCTTGTAAGGAATGATGGCTTTTGCCATTAAAATGTTTTAGCACCATGCACAAAATCCTGGGGCTAGTGAAGTCAACTGCAAGATATCCATTGACTTCTTGAAGACTAGGATTTTACCTGATGGGTTTGTAGCCTGCATTATTTAATACATATTTACATGTGGCTTGCCCATATCTACTAGCAAGTTTCATGAGGACGCCTTCCTAATCCTTAACAAAACAGGAAACATACATCTGAGATAGGCAAACCCAGAAAAAGTTGATTCCTTAATGCATATGCCTGCATACTTAACTGGGAAAGGTTCTCAATATGAAAGGTGGAGTTTCTTGGTGCTCTTGGAGTTACTCTTCGTGTTGTATTGCTCAGAGCAGGATTCTCCCCTCCTGGGTTCTTCCTTGTGGTGACAAATCTTAGCACAGCATATTAGTCCTAATAATTGCCACAGCCCAGCCCATGATGAGCAGCATCTGTGATTTTCCTTATTAAGTATGGATTATATTAGCAATGGACCATTTAAAACTGTTTTTGACAGCACCCTTGTTTCCGCAATAAACTTATATGAAGAGATGTAAGATAAAAGATAAATTAGGAAAACTAAACAAATTAAGAGTCCAAAAATCATTGATGTTATTGGGCTGAGTTGTATGTAAACAGACTAAAATCAGGGCTGGGAGAGAACACAATATCTGAGTCCCTTGTTTTAGAACCACAATAAAGACGCTAACTGTTCCATGTTTTACAAATTAAAAAGTATTGCTTTTATTTCTCTTTTGTTTCTAATGTAACTTTTGAATATCCAGGTAATATTACACCCAGAGTTCCTTTCTTCAGCAAGTCCGTTATTACCTATGGACTATGAAGAGTTTGTCAGAGGCTGCCATCTGGGGGTGTTTCCATCTTACTATGAACCCTGGGGTTATACACCAGGTAAGCAATTTTTACACTAACTGCTATTAGATGGTAATACATATTTATTATTAATGTCTGGACCTTTAAAAATGGAATTGATAGTCATCATCTGCTGCATTATTTCAAGATCACTTTTGACTCCATTTCCCCTACCATACAAGCCTGCTGATGGCAGAATATTGGGGCCAACTCGCATAATAACTCCATTGAAAACTACCCATTGTTCTGATTTTGAACCCTGACTTTCCCCAGTAGTATGTAATTTTATGGTCTCCTATGGCATTGGAATACAGATCTAATTTATTTTCTGGTAACATCAAGTATGTGTCATATAAAAGGAGATCTGGAGGTCTGGACATATTTCAGTAATAGGGCAAGAAAATAGGCACAACCCAAAAAGGTCCTCAGCTGGCACAATTGCCTTGATTTCAGTGGAATTCTGAAGAGTTTGGATTTCAGTTGCATAGTCTGCTGGGTATTTACCATGCATACTTACAAGCAGGAATGAATGAGCCTCAAAGGCCTAGCGGGAGGTTTTTAAAGGAAGTTTCCAAACAAAAAAAATACCACCCTGATCTTCAGTGATATTTAGGCTCCCATTTCCCATTTAATACATATATAAATACATATTAATCAATGAAAGGTATAGACACTTAAATATCTTGGAAGATCTGGGTCTAGGTGCTTCCATTCATTTGTGTTTTGGGGGTGTTGGTTATAGGTGCGTTGGTCTAAGGACATAGGCAGACAAGGTTCTTTGGGTAATGTGATATCTTTTATTAGACCAACTAATTAGTTGGAAAAAATTGTTCTTAACAAGCTTTCAAGCACAAACACCCTTCTTCAGACATAGGGAGAGTATGCTGATGTTTGTGTGCTCTCCTGGGTGGAACAGAAGCTTAAGCCAATATGCAAAATGCAGGTCTGTCAAAAGGCAAATGTGTGGCAGGGAAGATCAGAGGGAATAGAAGTTAATAGGTGTGAGACAGGTAGGGTCTGGGTAGAAGGGTCTGGGTAAGGTTTTTATACTTCCACAGTTGAAAACAGGGATCCCAGATTATATTAAAAAGAGCTGGCTTGAAGAAAGAAATGATTGATAAAACAAAAAAGTGTTGTTTCCATTTCACTTTGAAGGTTTCTGACCAATGTCCTCCCATTTTCTGCTTCCCAAAGTGAACCCAAACAAAACTCATTGACATCAAATCTCTTTTTATGTGTCTTTTGGCAGCGGAATGTACCGTGATGGGCATTCCTAGTGTGACCACAAACCTTTCGGGATTTGGCTGTTTCATGCAGGAGCATGTAGCTGACCCAGCTGCTTATGGTGAGACTTTTAAGAGCACTTCAAAACAACACGTTAGACTGCATATTTCACTTGCACTTCTTGACTGGTGAGGAACAAACTTCAGAGTTCCAGAATTTGATTTTCCATCAAAGTTTATCCATATGTTTACAAGAGTTTCCTCCTGTGTATGTTTTCCCCATTCAGCTAACTCCTCATCTCTGCTTCCAACTCAAGTAGCTTTCCTTCCTTCCCATCCAAATATGCTATAGCCTGGTCTTGGAAATGGTGAAACTATCTCTCTTTTAAGACTTCATAAAGAAGTTATCAAATTTTCAGAAGATAGGTGCATATATATATTTCATTTTCTGAAGATAGGTGCATATATTGAGGTAACACTGTAAAATGCTAGTGGAGACAAAATGCTGCAATTTTTAACTCACAAAAGCCAGTTGAGGTTAATCCTGGATATAATGTGTTAGCCTTGACTAGCTATGTGGAGGCCCCTACCTGTGTTTATCTGTGCCTTGTCTCCACTAGGATTTTATATTAAGACAGTGAACTCAAGTTAACTATGTCAAGGTACAAATACAGCTCTTTTTGCTTTGAGGAAATATCCTGCCAACTTTTCAGTTTATGCTTCAGACCGTGGAGTTTTAGTATCAAATAAAGGTGGAATACTTTCATTATATTTAGAAATGTACTCAAAAGTACTTGAAACCTTTTCCCCAAAATTTTTCTTTTTTAAAAATAAGCCTTCCTTATTTGGAAACAGATCCGCTGAATATCAGCACGAATGATTAAGCAATCAATTAATTTATTAATTAATTCTCAGCAACTGATGAAACATTCCCTTAGACTGGAAAAAACTGCGTAACTTATAGGTATCACTCCTTGTTCCACTTAGTAAAACACAACTCCACTACATGGAAAAGGTTAGGCATCAGGGAAAATGGAATAGAAATGTTAAAAGCTCATTTCTGGTCTTGCTCATCTCTAATTTTGTGTCACTCAGGGATTTATATAGTTGACAGGAGGTTTCGCTCTCCTGATGAATCATGCAACCAGCTGACTCAGTTCCTGTATGGATTTTGCCAGCAGTCACGACGCCAGAGAATTATCCAGAGAAATCGAACTGAAAGACTCTCAGACCTACTGGACTGGAGATACTTAGGCAGGGTGAGTGAACCTTTTTAGTAGCTATATAGTAAGCTGTTGTCCCAAACACACAATCATCACTGTGGTTACATCTCTAGAACCTTTGATCATCTGTTTCATGGCCTCAATGAAGTGAGTCAGAAGAGTGAAGTGAAACAGCCCTCTTCTAGAGGACATATAAGCATACATTTAAGTGCTTTGGACAATCACACCCACTCATGCCCATGCTGAAGAGAGTATTATTTTGACCTGATTAGTTTAAGCTGAAACCAAACATAATGCACTCCTAGCTTTTCCAAGGACAAAGACTACACAAAGATAGTGCCTCTGGCCATAGCAACCTCCAAGCTATTTTCCAGGCTCTGCCTATAGACATCTGAGAAACAATGGGAGCATTTACAAGTTCATTAAAATTCTTTAGGTGATGTGCATTAAATCTAGTACCTCCATTGTGAGGTACTAGAAAAATAAGCATTTGCTTATTTTAATGCGTATTAGCTAAAGAGCGCTTTTTTTGTGATGCACATTAAAATAGGCTAATGTGTATTACAGCACATGTGTAGATGTACCCACTGAATGGGTTTTTAAGTA